ATAGGAGACATCCTCTGTAATTGGCTGGAACTCCCCGCTGCACTGCCAGCCCCCCCTCCTGCCATGGGTCCCCCACCACGAACCCGGCCTTGCTGCCTATTGTCCCTATGCCTGGGCTCTGTGATCCAGCAACATCCGTGATCCTGCCGGACCATGGATGTTGCTGGACCAGAGAGATCCGGTTTAGGGAGGTCTAACTTGTACTATTGTTTTTTACAGTGCAAATATTCATAATAAAAAATATAAGGTGAACACTGTACACTTTGGGTTGTGTTGCAATTGATATTGATATATTTGAAAACGTATAAAGTATCTCAGTAAATGGTATTCTATAATTATTTACCAGCTCAATTTTAATGTTGCAATTAATAACAATTATTTTTAATTGCTTGACAGCTCTAATCCCAGTGTATAATGTGTTTGACTGATGTATAATATGTTTCTGGCTAATTGCAGTTCATTTTAAAAACATGGCTGTCTTGTTTATTCTGAAATTCTGTACTGCTGTGACTTTGTTTCTTCCAGTAATTGATTTTCATGGTTGATCTTCAACTTCAAGTTTCACAAGAAAAGCACAGGAATCCTAAAAAAAGTCCATGATCAATTTAACATAGTCTCCATGATCAATTTAAAATTCTTTTTGTTTTATCATATAATAAACTAGTAATTATAGAGGAATACCTTTCAAGATAAAAGGCGAGCTTGCTAGTTACATAATACTGGTGAGTTCTTCTCCTCTGGAATAATGCACACAGTTCTTTTACCTTCACTTCTAGTAGTTCTCAAACTATTGGCTGGGCCCCTGTTTAAATGGGATCTCCCAGGCATGTGTTAAATTTGCTGGAGCTCAGATCTGAAGCGGAAGCCTGAGCTCCAAGTTACTTCAGCCCAGGGTTGCAAGGCTCACGCTTCAGTTTTTCCTCCCTCTCTTCACCCCTCCACCATCCTGGATGGCCAAGCTTATGCTTCGCTCCTCTCCTCCACATGCACTCAGGTCATGTAATAACTTATGGTCAGTGTGTTTTGTGTCACCTTCTGTGTCCAATTCTGACAGGCTATGGATCTCTTTCCACTCTTAACTTGAAAGCCTCACTTTTAGTTCAAGTTGTAAAAGCTCTGAAGGTCCCAAGTTCAATTCCTAGCATCAGGCAAGATGGTAGCTGTACCTCTTGCTTTCCCTGAGATCTGCACTGGTGAGGGCAATTATATGCATTTATTTCCTCCTTTGGCTCAAATAGTACCCTTAGTCCAACTTCTACTCACACCCTTCTGTGTCACCAGCCCCCACAACTCCCATTAGTTGAGATTTCCAGTTAAGAGGCTCTCTGAAGCCAGTGCCAAGGGCGGGGGTAGCGTGTATAGCTTCCTTGGCCCCCCGTATGCCTAGGAGCCACAGGAATCTGATGTCTGCTTCTCAGGAGCCATGTGGAGCCAGGGCAAGCCCTGCTGTGACACCTATCAGACTTTGAATGGCTGGGTTAGTGATGCTGACCAGAGCAGCCAGGATCCCTTTTTGACTGGGCATTTGGTTGAAAACCGGAAACCTGGTCAGCCTAGGTCAGGATAATTGGACAATAGATTGTCTAGAATACTGAATTCAGCAGAGAGTTTCAAAATGAGACTAGATAAGTCTGTGGAATATACAGGTTAGGAAAGACTCTCTCTCTCAGGTTTTCATACTCCTTGCAGAAGAATGGACTAGATGATCCAAAATGGCTGGCATTCAGTTCCAACCCTCTGTATGATTAACAGATATAGCATAATTGTGGGAACTAAATTGGTTTCAGTTTTTTCAAAAAGTAAATTGAGGCTGCGTCTAGACTGGCATGATTTTGCGCAAATACTTTTAACAGAAAAGTTCCATTAAAAGTATTTGCGCAAGAGAGCGTCTATACTGGCATGAGCCTTTGCGCAAAAGATTTGCTTTTGCACAAAAGCATCCGTGCCAGTGTAGATGCTCTCTTGCACAAGAAAGCTCCGATGGCCATTTTGGCCATTGGACTTTCTTGCGCAAGAAATTGACGTTGCTGTCTACACTGGCCCTCTTGTGCAAGAATACTTGCGTAAGAGGGCTTATCCCTGAGTGGGAGCACCAGAGTATTTGCGTAAGAACCACTGTTTTTGTACATTACAAAGTCAGTGTTCTTGCGCAAATACTCGCGGCCAGTGTAGACAGGCGGCAAGATTTTGTGCAAAAGCAAATGCTTTTGCGCAAGATCATGCCAGTCTAGATGCAGCTTTAGGGTTCAGAAGAAAAGGAATTAAATTTTAAAAACTCTGAGTGAGCTTTAAAGTTATAACTAAATGCTAGCTCTGGACTTTTCTGTTTATCACGCTGTAAAGGAGCAAATAAAAACTATTTAGCAGAACAGTATCTGTTTTTTCTGAATTACATAGTGATATGATGGATTACTCTTCACTAATTATGGTAATCAACTAGTGTCATGTGCTATAGATTTGTGGTTTGAGCATAAAGGGGAAAAATAAGCAGCTTCTGACTTGTGCTGAGAATTGTATATTAAAAAAATATGTTGCATGGCTAGATTGAATTTTACACCTTCATCCTGCTCATGGAACAAAAGGACTCAAGGGGAAATGCTGAAAGTTGATCAAAATGGAGGAAATGTATCAGTTCACATATCTTTCGATGTAGTGCAGAAGCATTATATATGTTAATAAAAGGCAAAGACCCAAGTGAGAAAACAGTGTGTAATAACCGATACTGTATGTTGCAAGAGGTGTTTTAAATTTCCTGGTCATTGAAAAGATGTTAAGAAATACCTTTTCTGTGTATATTTGGATAGATCAGTTCCCTTCTGACCTGTTGTGGAGGTGATTGAAAATTTATGTTAAGCCTTGTATATGCCTCATGAGGTGAATTGCAAAAATCTGGTTGGAGACATAAAATCATCTTTACAAATATTTCTGTTACATGACTCTGATGAAAGTTAAACATGTTCCAGGTGTGTCTATTGCAACTTCTGGACACAGCTAAAATGTTTTTGAAAGTGGCAGGTACACCTGGTGTTGCTGCTTGCTGTGAAATTCTTAATCTACCAGCTGCCAAAGTGAGGGAGAGCAAACTTTGGAAGTGAGAAAATAGGGCAGCTGTTGCAGGGATGGAGGTGAAATGCAGGTGTGTTTTTGAAGCTGACT